AGCCTCATGTATTTGATGGTGTGCACTAAGCCGGACATTGCTTTTGCGATGGGCAAGGTGAGCAGGTACATGTCAAATCCAGGGAAAGTTCATTGGGAAGCAGTGAAATGGATTTTGAGATATTTGAAGAGTACTCTGGATTATGGCTTCTTGTTTGATGGTCTATTAGACAATGCCAAATCCTTGTTTGGTTACGTTGATGCTGACTACGGACAAGATCTAGATAAAAGGAGATTTACAATTGGGTATGTATTTACACTTGGCGATGGAAGCATTAGTTAGAGGTCTACCTTGCAGAAATGCGTAGCTCAGTCAACAACGGAAGCTGAATATGTGGCAGCAGCAGAAGCGGCAAAGGAAGCTATTTGGTTGGATAGGCTTATCATGGAAATGGGATTGAAGCAGGGCGTGGTTAATCTTCATTGTGATAGCCAGAGCGCTTTACATTTGACCACGAACCAGGTCATGAACAGCAGAGTGAAGCACATTGACATCAGGTATCATTTTATCAGACAAGCAGTGTTTGATAAAACGATTGAGCTAGTCAAGATCGACGGTAAACTCAATCCAGCTGATGCTTTGACCAAAGTTATTTCATTGGAGAGTTTCAAGCGACACTATGCTACCATGCAAGTTGTGCATGGGGAGCACATGTAAACTTTGCTAGCATAGTAACTCTATTTATCTCTTTATGTTATTACTCTATCCTGTTATGGCTACGATCTAGTTCTAATTAACTCTTGTATAAAGAGGTGCCTTGTGATAGGCATCTATCTAGAACTTCCCGCTGAGTAATAATATAAGTTTCAGAGGTTATTGTTTCCTTAACACGAGTTAAGGGGGAGATTGTTGAGGTTAACTCCGGTTAAGGAGTAACTTTAGGCTCTAGCTATTTATAGTTATGTGTGTCGCTGGCTTTGGGTATAAATATACCCCCAAAGCCAAGGCTTCTGAGAGGAGCTGAAATATTGTGTATTCACTTGTCAGTAAACCTGCTCAGTGTTCTAGCCGTGGACGTAGCCCTCGAGGGTGAACCACGTTATATGAGTGTCTTGTGAATGATTCTTGATTTTATGTTAAGAGTTGCTTCTGTTAAAATCACATATTCAGTTTCAGTTGTAGATTAAGTTACGCATTGTTGCAAAATAGATTTTTTAACTAATGTCGGTTATTAGTTAGAATTTGATTAGTTGTAAATTAAATTCTTGGCTGTGACTTCTAAAAGATCACATTTAGTGTATACTCTTGTATTTACAAGCTTTTGTGTGAATTTTATCATACCAATTGTTTTCACATCTGGTTGTGCGTGGTATGTTTTTTTTTCAAATCAATTAAAGAAAGCGTTAAGTATTCAATATTCATACTTAGTAAAAATAATATTTGATTTCACACAAGAGCAAAATGATGTGTCGTATTTTATCAGTTTTTCTCACTAATGAATCAAAAGTTGTTAGTTGCAATGAAGTTTGAACTCATGTCTCTTTCTAAGTTCATTTGAGATATGGTGATTTTTGAAAAACACAACATAAGCTTGTACAAGATACTCTATCTCTAGAGCATTACAAAATATTCATCCGGTATTAATCTTAGAGCAATACATCAAAATTTCAATCCAATTTTTCTCTTCCACTATACTCTATGGTTGTACATTGTAGTAGTAGACTTGCACCACAATTTTAGTCTCCTAGTATTAGATTAATGCTAAAAGCAATTGGTTGCAATGCACAAAATCTTGAAAGTATGTCTTTTAACGATGTGCAAAATGTTGCACATAATTCTGGATTAAATTTGAGCAAGGAGAGTCTAACTTTTTATATTTCAAAATTTTGAATTTTTGTCCGTTTGAAGCATTTAATGATACAACCTAAGAATTTTTTGAAAGGTATGATGATGATATGATGTAGAAATTCATATCGTCAAAGAATCTATTGGACTAAAAGAATCTTTTGTCTATTTGATGAATAAAAAAAACAAATTTTATTTTCAAATAGAAGATTGTGTATGAATTGTTACAAATTGTGATTTAAAAAAAGTTGTGTAGAAATTGCCGAGAATTGATACTTAATTTGTGAAGTATGAATTTGCAGGAGAAAATCTAGGGATGAGTTTCCCAATTGGAAAGACAAAGTAGAATCATTGTGATCAAAATCTAGGTATATATTACTAGAGAAAATAATACTTGTATGTTGTAAATATGTCAAGAGTAGTCATGTTAAGAAATACTACGACAATTAAATTTAATAATCCTCTGTTGACCTATGCGATTCAAGGGTTTGATGCCAAGGAGTATGACTTACTGGACAATGGATTATGATGTTAGGATTATGACATATATAATTTTTTTAACAATATTTTTTACTAATATAAACCAATATTTAACAATTTGAATCATCCAATTTTTTCAAACTTAATGTTTATTTAATAAAAATTGATGTATGATAAAAAATTTGAAATTAGCTAAATATTCATTTGTCATATTGCCTAAATTTAATATAACCATTTATATAAATAATTTAACTTTTTATCAAAATAAGATTAACTATGAGTATATAAGACTAGTTTAAAAATAAAAGCTCATTCTATTGACATATTTTACTTATATATGAGACAAATAACTATATTCATTACATTTTTTTAATGGTAAAATATTATTTTTATTCAATTAATCATCATGATTAATAGGTTTTTATAAACATTACAATTTTTTTTCAGTTATTTTATAAATATTCATAAAAGATCTATTGTTTTTGAATTACTTACATATTGATCTTGTGAAAATATTTTTTTACTTAATTTCATTGAATAAAATTAATATATATAAAATGAACCCTTTTGTATAAATCTCAAATAATTTATAAATACCTTATTAATAGGGATAATTTAGTTAAATCTACGTTGAATGTGAACAAAACACAATAAAATATTTAAATCTTCAAAGTTTACCTTGGAAATAAATGATACAAAAATGAAATACCAAGACATGTTTAATTAATAATAAAAATATAATTTTTTATGATTACAATTTATCAAGATTGTAATGCAAGCTCATTTTGTTTATCAAATTCAGATCAACATTTCATTTGAGCTCAAAATTTTATTCAAGATGATTATTTTTATTTTTTACTTAGATTTTAATTTTTTTTAATTGAATCGATGTAATGTACAAATCATAAAACCTACAAAAAAGTTTATAATTATTTTTCAATGAATTCAAAATGGTAAAATCAATGAAAATTCTATTTTAAATACAATTATATGGAAAATTTTTGATTAAAAATTTTTTTTACTGTAAAATTATCGATATGACCATTTTATTTTTTTTGAATTTAAACATACTAATTTAGCATTTGAACATTTGACTTTTAAAACTCAATTTCTGAAATAAATATTTATACATTCAAAGTGAAACATTTTATAGAATTGAAATCAGAATGATGGATTATTATTGAATCCTATTAAATTTCAATTTTATAAAAAAATGGTATATTTTGAATAAGATAGTTCTGATGAAGCATCAAATAAAATTACAGATTTTAAAATATACATAAGATGTTAATTAATTTAATGAACCAATCGAATTGCAATATTTTTGCACCATAATCATACATATGAACATAAAGATGTTTAAAAATCAAATAGTAATGTAGTTTAATCTAATTTTAATAAAAATATAATTTTTGGATTGATAAAAAAAAGTAAAATTTGATAAAGTTTTCAATTGTTAAAAATACGTAAAATTAAAGTTTTAATAATTACAAAGTCTCATGATATATCTATAAATGAAATAGCAATGAATAATAGATGTGACTGTAGTACATTGTTCTGTTCTGGATGTTTTAAATTGTACATAATTTTCAATTGTAATTATTTTTGGATATTGTAGATATCCTAAATAGTCTAACTTCAGCATTTCACATATATTTACATATAATATTCATTTTAGTTTCAGTTTTATTATTTTATTATAGATATTGAAGTAAAATTTTTGTCCAAAATTATTCAACTTCTCACCAGCATTTGTGATCAAATGACGTCCCTACATTAAAAAAATTACCAAAAAAAAAACATTTACTCTCAAAGCAAACAAATACTTACGCTCTGCTACCAAGTTTCGATCACACATCATCCTACTATTTCTCATTCGAAATGCCTTCCACATCGCCTTTAGATTGTCATGGGCTGCAATTTGTCAAAGATTTGGATTTTTATCACCACCACTGGTAGCTCCGATTCCTTATACACTTTCAAACATTGCAATGGCAATTTTGCTGATTGCAATTTTCACGGAGATCATAACATAGATAATTCTTACTATCTAGGTATTTGAATATAAAATTTTATCCTCACGGTACTAATGGTCTCATGCCAACCGCTCTATCTGATCTGATTGATCACACTTGCAGAGATCTATAAGAACAAGATATAACCATAATGACATTTTTTTATCACACTTTGTAAAAGACATCACATAATGGGATGTATTAAGAATCACTGCCTAAGGAAAACCTGAAAATGCGTTAAATTCTAGCAACGAGAGCTGTAAGTTCAGCCCTTGATGAACTGAGTGCAAAATCCTGTGACAAATATTCAGCTGCAGTATACGAAGTATCGTGCAAGGAGAAATAGTGGCATAACCAGGTCTCCAACTCCCTTAAAAGCAGTCTCTAATCCAGTAAAAGGACTCTGAAGTAGGAAAGCACAAAAATTGCATAAAGATCACGATCAATCGTACACTTCGGTATGAAGATTTCGAAAACTTGATATGGAAACACCAGGACAGCCTAAAATACGATTTCTTGGGCTGAAAAGTCTCTAAGCTGGCCTAAGCCTAAGCAAGCTGCAAGTCGTTCACCCGAGCGCGGTTGGAAGGAAGGGGATGCTGGAGATCGGCGGCTGGCGACACCTTTACCTTTTTACTGCGGTAAGATCCTCGCTGCCGATATGCCATTCTCTGGAGACAGAGAAATCGAAATCGCCTCTACTTCATATTCCTGCCCTTCTCACTTCTGAGGAGCTCCCCTGGAGGTTTCCTTTGCTTCCTTCCGTTCCCTTCCCTTCCCTTGCGTCCTGTGTCCAGTCTTGGGTTCCGAAGAAGCACCGGAGACGCGTTCGGCCCCTTCGTCTATCTCATTCTCTATCTATGACTTGGCCCCCGTCGTGATCTATCGCTCTCTCGGGCCCCCTCACCTCATCGTCCGTCCATCGCCTACAGTTTTTCGTCGACTTGATCACGATTGATTGCTGGCTGTTGAGGGGTTCAGCAGTGTGTGGATTAACAGGAGGTAGTGTAAGTTGCCGCTGTAGGAATGGCCGTGTTTTGATGTGAGAGTGCAGAGATTTGAGTGCAGGGGAGCGGAACGAGCTCGCCCTAGTTGAGTAGTGATTGTGTTTGAGAGAGGCTGGAAGCGGGGAGAGGGGTTCTGGGGACGGAGTTTTGTAGGATTTGGGGTGTGGTGTTTGGAAGTAGATTTTTGGGGGTTCGAGAACAGCTTGGAAGGTCGATCAAGTTGTTTGCGGACATCGGCGGCAGACATGAGGGTCCTCTAACACGATCTTTTCAGGCTCCCCTTGGCTTAGGACTTAGGAAGCGAGGGTGCAGGAGTGTGGTCACTAGCCTGCTGTGGTGCCCTTTGACTGGTCTTTCCGAATTTTTTACAGCTCGACGACATGGATGACTGGGGTATGGATTTGGGTGATTTCGTGTTTGAAAGCTCTTCCTTCTTTCGTGCAGGTCGTCGTTTCTTTTAGCATGCATGTCAGGAGACTGCAATCCAGCTCGTTCTTTCGCTGTTCTCGTTAGTTCGCTCATCAAGGTCCAGTGTTCTTAGGATCTGTTTTAACGCTTGCCCGCCCCCAAATTTTGCCCGTTACAGAGGCAGAAGACTTTGTGCCACCACCTCCAGTTATTGCTCGGGAACAACCAAAGTCCCCTTGGGAGGACGAAGATCAGGGGGAGGAGGAAGTTAAAGAATCATGGGAGGAAGAAGACAAGCCCGCCGCCTCTGCCGCCTCTGTACGTTGTTCCGTAACCTTTTCGACTGGCTAGAGTAGTTTTGCAAGCTGCGTGAGCTCGGACTGAAGCTTCGCCAATCCTGTTTCGACTTCGGCTGAGATGTGCTCGATGGTCGTGGTCTATCGTGTCTCAGTCATGATCATGGTCTTTTTGTAGTGTCACTTGCCCATTCCTGGTCAATGTGGCCTCGTTCTCGGGCCAGATTATCTGACAATATCGACGTATGAATTCAGCATTTCTGTTATCGTCCCAGGACTTCGTACATTCTGTGTCTCTCGTGATCAAAAGCTTCTCGTTCCTTCTGTATGTTTACTTTGTACGGCTTGTTCTCTTGATTCCCTCCTTCCCCATTCAATTTTCAATTTTGATCTCATTCGGAAGTACCATAATCAAATACAGTATCGAATTCTGCTCTGACCACGTGTTTGGGTTTTCACTTGGCCGCTAACGTTTCAAGAGGAGCAGGGGCAGATTCTGCGTATATGCAATAGCTACTTTATAGAAGATACCGTGCATTGACGCGTAGGAGTTACTCAATGTCATGACAGTGTTTACACTCCTCAGTGCTGCTGTTGATCCTCTCGACCAACTTTCAAATGTATTTTATATGGTTTCTGTAAACCCTAAACATGTTAGCTGCGCCGATTGGAAGGTGCTCTCTTTCGATACCATGTCTCAGTTGTGGTCACTTTGCCCACTTTGTGTCAGGTGGTAACGAAGCCCAAGAAGAAGGAAGAGAAAAAAGGGAAAAAAGTTGCTGTTTCTCTCGACGAAGGGAAATTGACCGATCCGCTTGCGGAGAAGCTTCGCCAACAACGGTAGAAACGTGTTAAAATTAGAAGTCAATTTGCTATGACAGACAATTTGCTACGTTTAAAATGATATTTGTGCATCGCTCACCAGTTGTAGGTTTCTTGTGCACAGACTTGTCGAAGAAGCAGACTACCAATCTACCACGGAGCTGTTTGGGCGTCAAAAGAACCCGGATCAAACTCTAGAAAACTTTATTCCGAAGTCTGAAGAGGATTTCCAAGATTATGCGGAGCTCATTGCCAACAAACTTAGACCCTTCGAGGTAAATCATGCTAGAGTGCAGTGCGGTCTTTCTTATAGTGTTTTGGGCGCGAAGAGCCCTTATTCATGTCACATTTTCGTTTGAATTCTGGATTCTGTCTTCTGTTTGTTGAAGATGACCAAGAGGGCCAGATTGCCTCACTAGATGGCCTCGTTCCGTGCAGAAAAGTTTTCATTATATGACTCTCTTGAAGGCCGTCATGAAGCACGCTGTTACTTCCTTAAATGCTGCTGATGCTAAAGTATTAGCGAGTAGCTTAACAGTCACAGCGAATGAGAAGCTGAAAGCTGAGAAAGACGCGTCAGGCAAGAAGAAGACAGGTAGGCGATTGTTTTCTTTCCTTCTAGTGTATGCGTCTATATCTGAAGTTTTAAGTTCTTGGATGGAAATTCTGCTACTTCAAATCTCCTAGAGAGCTAGTGCGACCAAGGCAGACAGCGTTTTATTACATATATGCTATAGATGATGTTCAATAGGAACCACGAAGTGATTAGGAATTAATCAATAGAGATTGTTTTCTACGCCAGCTACAGTTAATCGCGCTTGAAATTTCATAATGGTCATGTGGGGAAGACGATGGCAACTCTGACCTCCCCTTATGAACAGTATATCGGGAATGCTTATAATGTCTCCAAGCGGTTACTTGCCTTTCTCACTGTGAAAGGGTAGATTCCTCTCAGACAGAAGTCGAGCAGGATGTGAAAGCGTCTTGCTACATGGACTCCCTGTACGTATAACATGGTTGATTGTCCTAACGTTTGAGAGAATGATAGCGACTTCTAACCACAGCTGATCTGAGTAGAAGTTGCAGCGTTTGTTAGATATTGTTTTGGTCGACTACCCTGTCCGAGTACCATCCATACCTGGTGAAGAGGGGATGGAGATTATCAGCTTGTGATTTGGCTCATTGAAGCTGTTTCTTTCGCACAGCAGCCACAGGATGTTTTTATATGAACATTCGGTACTCTCTTCTTTTAGTGACCTACGGGCAGTTCTATTGTCTTCTACCCTGAATGGTTCATAGAATGTCATCAGTTCACAGCTTCATTCGTGAACTATTGTTCATAATAAATCAGAAGTCTGGTGGCCCTCCTTATACATCGACTACCAATGAAGGGGAAGACAAATATAGGAACATGAATAAACTGGATTCTAGATACATGTTGCACTTACCCATTTGCCTTGTACGCGGTTGTATAAATCTTAGATAGAGTGCTGAATAACAACTCATCGCCACCTGTGGGTGTGAGACCGTACGATCAACCTTGGGTCGATTTCTGATTATGCTGCACAGCGCAAGCTGGTACCTAACTGGAGCTAGTAAATTAATTCAAGAGCTCCTTACCCTAGGTCCATGGTAAATAACTGCTACTGTTTAAGTCATATATTCCGGTTATCATCAAGCGCAGTAAGTGGATGAGCCACTGAAGGGGTTCTTGGTTGATAGTTGGAAACTTCAAACGAATTTTAGTAGGTTAAGTTAAGTCACGTATGAGTGGTCTCGTTCTGAGAATTTTCTCTATGATTCCCTCTCTTTCATCTTTTGTCGGTATCAGCACTGCGTAGTATAGGCTCAGGTACTCTATGGCATTCGAACTTTGACAGGCAAATACTATCCAGTACAGCTGCGAACTTAATCCTGGCGTATATTTTATAAAAGACGTGATTATGTTAGTTTAGCCACTGACAGGCTCTATTATCTCATTTGTCTTTGTAGGTGCTAAGAAAAAGCAACTGCACGTGGATAAGGCAGAGGATGATGGTTTTGCCACTGGAAACTACGACGATGTTGACGACTACGACTTTATGTAACCTTTCAGTTATTCATCAAACCCCGAAGGAGACGTTCTCAATTGGGGTTTTTTTTTCCATTCTGTACCAGAGATCGTTTGCTGTTTCTTATCATGAATTAGCTGGTTCTTGATGAGTGGGATTGGTCGCGAAGTGAAGATGTGGAGCGGGTACTTTAGAACTTAGAAGAGAATAGAAACTACGGGAATTGAAGGAGCTACTTAGGTGTCTCGGTTGTGAATGTAGGAAGGTCTTTGAGTGTTACTCAAGGTAACATTTCAGTACATGTGGTATGTAGACAGAAGCAGTCTATTATGTTGCCGGAGTACTGTTCTTGGCCACAATTTGGGGCCCTTCAGCTTCACAAAGTTGAGTTTAAATGTAAAAGTTCCAATGATTGTGTGATTATATACCATCGTTGTCATTTTTTGTGTTGAACGTGAAAGTTCGAAGCCTGCTTTTAAGTCATATGTATTGTTTGTTTCTGGCGGATTGGGTGATTCTTTTAAATTTCCTGAAGAAGCATAGTATCGCGGATGTCGGTTTGGAACCACTTAATTTCCTTGATAAGAAGGCGCAAAAGTCCATGGACAAGAGTCCATGGGTACACGAGTCGTTCACCTTGACCACACATTAGAGCGGTGATCTGTTGAAAGCAGTGAACCTTCTAAGTTCTCTCGCACAAACCGATGATGGCATGTAGCGCAAGGTAGCCCGCAGCTTATCCAATGAAAGAGATGTTTATGGATGAACTGAGATGGAAGTAAGGATGAACTGAGATTTGGGTATCATTACTAGTTAGTACTGTAGTGAAGCAGCAGGACGTGTGCATGGAACGTGACACATTATCGCATCTCATGGTCAGACGTTTTGAGGCGAGCGTCCAATGCATATCGAGGACTAGAATTGGTTGGACCTGTCACTTGGATTACCGGAATGTGCCATCTGTTCCTTACAGTGTACGAACCAAATCGTTGATATATATGCGGTATTGTTCTTGTAACGCAGGATTTCCTCCTCCCGTCATCAGCCAGGTTGGGAATGGTGGGCCATGACTTGTTACATGCTACAGTTGTCCAGACCATCCGATGTTTCACCAGTTATCTTTCATGTTGGTAGGCCGCGTAGTGATAAGGCCCAACCAAGTTTCGACTGCAAAGCCTCCGCAGGTCTGCAGTCATTGCACGGTTCTGAAAGCTTGTATCTATTGAAAAGTACAGTACTGAATTCAGTAATCATGGCTCAAGCAGAGAATACTGTATGAAGCCTTGTAACATGTATATTTTCGTACAATCAGCAATCTGGCACGCAAAACCGACAGTTTTCCTCAGCCGAAAGATGCCTCTCCTGAGGAGTTCAGAAGACTCACAATATCGATCCCCAATGTTGCTTCAACCCACGATGCCGAAGGATCTACACAATTTGTACGTTGAATGATGACTTCTCATCTGCACACCTTCCCAAAAGCTGCATCAGCTGGGCCATACCGTTACTGGAGACTCGGGCCGAGGAGTACATCAATAGTATATCTCGAGATTACAACATCTTCTCCTCACCCATGGCAACGATAAAATAACGTTCTCATCATGTGCCATCCTTGCATGATATAACGCAATACCTGGACCCATAATACTCATTTTAATGCCTTATGCGGCATCATTAGTTATGTAACTTGGCACAGGCAAGATCATGCAGTGAGTGCAGTTTTGAGGCCTAAACTTCAAACCAGGATTCATTGAAGTGCAGTTCTTGAAGTTAAAACATGCTAGTTGTAGTGATGGTGGATAATATCTAGTGTCGTAAAGTGGAATGTAATGTTGTCAGAGTTTATTTGGCTTCATTTCACTTTTTGTTATGATTGTGAGAAAACAATTTGAATGTACGTATACAGAGTAGAAGAGATAACTCTTCAAATGTACGAATAAAGAGTATAAGAGGTGATTGAATATTCAAATTGGATTATGTGATTAGAACTTTCTTTCTTGAAGCCATGAAGATGTTCTTGAGAGTTTTAATATTAGCGAATTTCACAGTATTTTGCAAATGATGTATGGTGCTGATGGACCAAAACTTGTGATGGCGGTATAGAATTAGAGTTGGTTTGAAGAGAATTAGCTATATTTCAATTTTTATCAAGCATTCAAAATTCTAATAAGAATGTAGAGGCTGTAAATAATAATTTGCTTGATACTTCTACAACTGTGTATAATTTCATGGTGGTTGTTTTCATAATTGAGTAAAATAAGATTTAAGACTTTGATTATTAAATAACAAATGCATTTCATTCAGTTACTGTTTTATGAAAAATATATTTCAAATTTGAAGCATTTACAGAAGAGGTAGAGTTCATAATGCAAAAATTGAGATTTGAAACAAGACAAAAGTGATTGCAAATTATGAGAAGTTGGAATTAAATTTGACTAAATCTAAAATTTCTATATTTCATGATAAAAAAAATTTTGGAAAAAATTTATCAAATTATTAAAAATAATCAATCATATATAATTATGTAAGATAATTGATATGAAAAACATGATTCAAAACTAAGTTGAAACATATGTAAATCACCTCTTTGCTGAAAGCAAGTACATGATGAAATGATTTCACAATTTTGCAAGTTGATATGTTGAATAAGTGATGAACATTATTAGCATGTGATGATTGTGATTATTGTGAGTTTTTCATGTTTTTTTTTGCATACAAAAAAGCGTTTAAAATGATACATATGATGAAATAAAATAAACTTCTAATTGATATTATTAATTTATGAAGTTAATCTAAATTTCAATCTTAATGATTGGATCAGAAGTTAGATAGTTAAATCTAGTATTTTATACATTTAATTCAGATATGATGCAATTAATGTACTCAAAACTAGGTGAAATATAATGCAACATAAATAATAAGGAAAAAAAATTGTAAGTGAGATTGATATAAAAAAATAAGAATAACCCACAAGTCACACTTTCATACACTGTATTTTATGAAAATCATAAGATACATCATACATTTTACATAAAAATTTTAATTTGAAGAGATGATAAATCTCATTATAGATATATCTGTGGTTGATAAAAAATAAAATTCACACATCAACATCCTATAATCAGAATTCAAATCAATGTTGGCAGTGATTAAATTATTTTTTTTGGCAAAAGAGTGTAGTGGTTGAATCAGGTAAAATCATTTAGTCGAAATTTTTTATCACGACAGATCAAATGCAAATTCTTCCGTTGTTACAATTCAGTTCATATGATTAAGAACACAAAAACATATATTTGTATCAGTTTTCATGGCGTTAGAAACCTGAATCATGTTTTTGTGTTTGGTGAAAAATAAAATAAAAGTCTAATCTTAAAATGAGTTTGTTTAAATATAATGATCCATGATATGGGCGGATTCTTCTTAATAACATTTTAACAATTTAACAATTCACAATACATTTACTTAAGTTTGATATGCCATCGAATTTATGTTGTAATGAGTTATGCATAAGCACATTGCTCAAATATTGGATCATGTACACATAATTTTCCAACACATAATATACAGTCACTAGATTACATGACTGAATTCACATAACTAACTCTTCCCAATCTATACAATATACCACTGCTTTTTGTCATAAGACCAATTTTATTTCTTAGCACTGGATGTGACGAAGGATGTTGGATATGATTGAATGTGGTTGGTTCGTGTTTTTAATGATATTTCAAGGTTGAGCCAAATTGACATGCAGTTTCTTATTGCCGTGATCGGAGTTGGGATTGTATGCAGTGAAGTAACCGGAGTCAAGGAGCATAAGAAGTGGTAAGATACTTGTCGACAGATGGCAAGGTGTCACCGTCAGGGCTTACAAGAAGCGTTGGAAAAGGGGGATGATCCATTGGTGGAATCCGAATGGATGAATTGACAACGGAGGTCTACACCTGAGCTTCATGGTCAACACGTGGATGCTGGAGAGGTGAGGGAGGCAGAGGGAAGGCACACCAGGTAATGGGGCTTTCTTTCTCTGCCCACACCTCTCCCTCGGTCTGATTGCACTGTGATTGATTGTGGGCATTTACGTGTCCACCAGAGTCGGGTGGAATTCGGGGAGGGTTTGAGTTTTATGTTTCTGGGCAATTTTGTTAATCTTTTGAATATGATGGGGCGTGCGTGCTCCAAGGCTTAGGAGTCTCTCGTGATAGTCATAAAAATATACTTCAGACGGTGTCTGTTCTCAGTTTTTTCCCGTCGGTGCGAGTGGAATTCGGAGGAGTTTGGTGGTGAATGTCTTTGGAGGGGAAAGGGAGAGCCAATCTGGATAGGGTCTCTCTTTCAGAAGGACCTGCATTTTTTTTCAGCAGATTGAAGAGTTGCCCGAGGCCATTTTTCTAGGGTGTTGACAGGAGCGATGGAGGTCCGGTGGGCATCGGCAACGACCGGAGAACTGGCCCCTACTGGTATTCAAGCTCTGCATAATAAAGTGATTTCCGCGCCTCAAATCTCAAGATGTCTTCGTGCCCCAATCTCTACCGCATCTTCCTCAGGGACTCAAATGCTAGCCACGAGCACAAGCTCGTTGCATTGCGACGAGAGAGTTGTCGCAAGATTAGCCTTCCAAAGAACTCTGTCGGCCCGCAGTAGGAATCTCAGGTTGGGGAATTCATCCTCTGCGTTCCCAGGGGTGTTGGTGTTGAAGGTTGTTCAGCAATATACACCGAACACTGGGGGTGACGAAGGTTTTGAGTATAATCTGAGAGTAAACGCTACAGGAGAAAATTCATCGGAACCTGTATCTGCACCATCATCCACCTCCACGCAGAAAAAACCTGGTCCGTTGTCGTCCATCTTCAGTATTCCTAAATCAATCTGGAAATCATTGGTTTCTCCTCTGAACAATTTTGGATTCGGATCAACAAGCATATGGGAAGGTGGAGTTGGACTCTTTGTGATGTCTGGAGTGGTTTTACTGGCCATCACTCTCACTTGGGTGAAAGGAACACAACTGCGATCTAGGTCTCGAAAGTATGAAGCAGTAATTGAATTTGCACGAGCTCAGGGTATTACCGTTGGAACGCCTGTTCGAATCAGGGGAGTAGATGTCGGCAGCGTAGTTGGGGTGAAACCAAGTTTGGAGCGCATTGACGTTGTAGTTCAGGTACTAGATTCAGGCATAGTGATTCCTCGCAACGCACTGGTGGAAGTAAATCAGTCTGGACTTATCAGCGAAACCCTAATCGATGTCACTCCTAGAGTGCCCATACCTCGACCTACAGTTGGTCCATTGGATGAAGGCTGCAAAGAGGAAGGTCTCATCGTCTGTGACCGAGAGAGGATCAAGGGTGAGCAAGGAGTAAGCTTGGATGAACTTGTAGGCATCTGTACGAAAATTGCCAAACAAATGGGTGAGTTGGGAGTGGAGAATATGTATGGCATGGCGGAACGCGTCACTGCTGCTGTGGATGAGGCAAAACCCCTCCTGGCAAAGGTAATATGAATCCCATGACGCAAAGCAGAGTGATGGTTTTACGGATTTACTCACATCTACGTTCAGCTTATACCTCTTGTTGTTTCTTGATTGGCTTTCAATGGTAATTTTTTTATCTTATTTTCACAGTACCCTAGGTACCAGGAAGAGACAAATGAGCCTAATGTTTTTCGATGTATGAAATTGCTGTCAGACAATGGTTTTCATATTTAAGCTAGGAAATTATCAGCAAGCTAGTCTACATCTGTCTTAAAGTTAAAGTTGAAGAACTTCTTTATTGCAGGTAGAAATTGTTCGATTTCTTTGCTCTACCATAATTATTCTCATTTCTTTCATAATTGCTTCTCACTTCAAATCATCTATTCTACGCTTCTCTTATGAGGTTTTTCATGTCGTTGACACATTGGCTATGTGAACTTTATTCACTGTTTGAACTGCTGACTTGGACTTTCTCTTTGGATTGTGTATACGTTCCTGCACTAGTGTGAACTGATTTCTCTCAGAGCTTTCCTATCAGTATTGACTTTACTCCTTTCTGTGTGGTGATTGCTGGTTAAGCTCTCCACGGTCGCAAATTACTAGTTTATCAAGCTTGGCAGCAGCCGATAACTGATCCACTCACATTTATAGTCAAGTGCATGTCCTCTGCTACTTTATTATGCTAGAAAATGTCATTCTAATAGGCTGTGATGGTGTATCTTGCCGCTGAGCTGAGTTTGCTTGCAAACTTCTTGTGAAGTCATGACTGAACAATCTTCATCGAAGCCGGTACTTGTGATTCTAGTATGTAACATTGTACTGCCTTCTATTCCATAATCTTTAATCTACAATGAGGAGACTAGGAAAAATCTAACCGCAAACTGGATACTGTGACCTTGTTAGGACTGCATCATACAAATTTTGAAGAATGAATGCCAACTCTGATAGTTTTTTGATAAATGAACTGGCAGGTAGAAATACTGGCAGGAGACATAGAGCCTCTCCTGAAAGAGCTCAAAGATGGTGGATTGCTGAAAGATTTAGAACGGTTGACAAAGGTTGTTAGTGAAGCTGGAGAAGATTTAAGGTAAGCCATTCTTTATTGTTCGCATAGTCCCTTACGAGTACGTGATTTAATATCTGCAGATTTACCAGATTGATCATGAAGCCACCAGATTTTTAACTGTTGTATTATTGTCTTTGTAGGACATTGAACAAACAAGTTTTGACAAGTGACAATGTAGAACTCCTACGGCAGTCGGTTACAACCTTGACGAAAACTCTATCACACATTGAGGTAAACAATTCGATCCCATCATATTATTTTCTCCTTTTGCAACACCAAACTAGAGCGAAGGTTATATGGTTATCGGGATATGACAAACAACTAATTACTACATTTGAAAGTTGATTAATACTTCTAGAAAGCAAGAATTGCATTAGGACGCAGAAATATCAGTGAGAGCAATTGTGAGTCTTCGTCTTGCATCATATACTGCCTACTTTCTTTCTCGTCATGACTAATCTGAAGTCTGATTAATTAGAAATTATCACATAGAATTTTTGTTCTTCATCTGTTTTGATTGGATGTCTTTGTCTCCACAGAATATCTCTCAAGACGTGAGTGGACTCACTGGGGATGCTGGAACGAGGAAGAACTTACGGCAGCTGATAGAGTCTTTGAGCCGCCTTGTCATGGACTGAGATGAAGCCTCTTTGCAAATTTCTTTCAAGATTAGTTTACCTCCATGGTTACCTATTCTTTTTCCCTGATTACAATTTGTTGTTTCATACTGTAACCTTACCTGTCTCGCCATCCAGGTCTTGTATTTTAGAGGTCCACAGAAAGCACATGGTTGTTTTCCGCCCACTCTAGTTAGATTTGTGCAGTAACATGACACAAAAAATCAGAGCACATCTAGTGCACAGTTCTTAGGCCTGATGTGAAAAGAAAGCTTCGCGGCTGTCGCACTTGGTGAATTAGGTCACCATATTTATATAAATCATGAGATGGTTCAAAAATCAGCTCTAGGCTGCCAAAGCATCACACACGAGTTGTTTTTTCACAACACATGGAGGAGAGGTTTGTACGTACCTCTCCTACCAATAGTTTTCTTTGAATTGTGATTCTACTACAAACAATCACTACAAACATGGGAGTGACATTATGACCTTGAATGCCTATTATAGAGCGAAGTTTATGTGAATGGGATTTATCTGCTCTCAACCGACACACAGAAGTTTGCTCGGCATAATTCGAATTAATGCTCGGCATAATTAGAATCAATGTACAATTCGTCGTTTGACAAGGATGCTAGCTGAATCCATTGTGCTAGATGTATAATAGATATCACCACTCATTTCAAGCATGAGGATTACCTTCAAGCCATCAAGGCAGAGGATTCCCAAGGCTCCTTTGATCGTCGATAACCGTCCTTAATGGCTGGACTGTAAGACTGGTTACTCTGAGGTTTACTTTAATGGAGATTAATAATGAAAGGCAATGAAAAGGCAGTGGTGCGAGGATAGCTTCTCACTCACCAAGAAGAATCGCTGTGGCACAGAATCAAGTAAGAAATACATACAATTGTTGCATGCCAGGACGCTCTAGAGACTGTCCTGATTTAGTGCTGCATCCGTAAACTCTGGTCAACCTTTGATAAAAGAGCCTGATCTGTGCTCTGTTCGACAATTATTTTGCGTGAATTTTCTAACTAAGATGAGAGCTTCGTGAAGATAGTGTGGTGCAGCTACCTCACATGCGACGTCCTTGGTACTTGTCACCAATTGACTCCTCTACTCCAGACTTTGTACGCCACAGTGCGGAGCGAAGTCGACGAGAATATTTCAACTGATTTGCCCTTGAACGTTGCCGTCACTGCTACGTGGATTTTTGTCAGGGACGAAACTTTATGTAAAGTTATGAAAACTGCTCAAGCTTCAAGAGGCACAGGAAGCTGAGTGTTCGTGTTACAGGTAATGGAGCACGGACTCAGAGAAAACTCAGGTATGTGATACATCAGCTCTTCCTTTGAAAGGTGTTTCAACCTAATGTGTGAATAGCTTTAAAGAAGAGTCCGGGAATTCCGGGAGATTATAAGTTTCATCGCATCATAAGTTTGTAAAATCAACGGGGCGATTTCGTATATATTGTTGTGGAATTTTTGCTGTACATGGATGAAATGGGTGGTTAACGGGGTGACCGAGGCGATGGTGTCAATAGTTGCGTGGAAACTGTAGAACCTGTGCTAAGGGTTCCACCTGCAACAATTTGAGACCAGAAGAGGATGGTGGCTACTGCTACATTCAAGACAGGTAGAGGAAGGTACTCCACAATGTAGTCATTTCACTGTAAATGTCTATCGTATTAACAACGAGACTGTATCACCGCAGCCAAGATTATGTATCATGACACAATAATCATGAAGCTGGAAAATCCCAGAGTGTAGTAATGAAGGTGAAAGGGGGGCGAATGAATGGCAAAAACGATGGGAGGATTAGAAAGCAGAAGTTTGGATGAAGTGAGGTATGCAAGAAAAAAGGAATGCAAGACGAAACTTAGCCAGAATCCATGAGCTTTGTCGTAGTAATTAAATACGAGCGACATTAAGTTAAGGTGAAGGATTAGATAATCTAAGAGCGAATGGAGCATCTGCTATAATTTTCAATCTATCGAAGATATAAAAAACTGCTTCATAGTTCAATAAGTGGACACTGAAAAAAGAACGGAGCTCCTATCATACTTCGATGATTAAAGTGGTTCTTGGAGTACCCAGGTAGATGGATCGATGGATGAGTAAAGAATGTACATGGGTCGAAGAGAACTGTTGGAGAAGAATATACCGAATCATTTGCGGATCCTTCAGTAGAGGTTGAATAAAGTCTGAATAAAGTGAAAGAAAATCCTCTGGATTTAATTAGCAATCCTAGAGTACATATGCGTATATAATACTTCTTTGTAGTATTTGAAGATTGGGAAGGTTTCGAAAGATTTTAATAACAAAGACTAAGCGCGACACTTGGATACTTTAATTCTCGAGCCCACAAACTAAATGTTTGGTATTTATAGATATATTTAATGAGATCAATGTGATAATAGTAATCTCTAATAGATAATTCACATATTGTGTATTACACATCAGAGTCTTGAAGACATGACCAAAACAATAAACATGAAAGCTCTACAATGAGCCCTAAAAAGTAGAGATACCTTCAAAGAATCATCCTGTTGACTCCCAACAACAAAGTATACAACGGTGACGGTGATTTCTTCTGCGAAAAGCCACGGTGAGAAGATGTGAAATAGCAACTAGATTTGGAGTCATTACGGTTGTTTACATATCAAAGTCGTAATGAAGGTATACTGGTTTAAGTTATAAGGTGAACCAAAGATATATGATGTGATACTATAGTATTTCAAATGGTAAGTGATGAAGAGAAAATGTTAAGTTCAGAATTCCCTATCGTGCTACCCGTTTAATTTTACTTTGCGCGATTTCAGGATATTTTTTAATCTTTTTTGTTATCCATTTTGCCCCGCCCTCCCTTGAGGATGATGAAGGGATCTACATAGACTAGATTTATTTGGAGTGCTTTTTTCTCTGTGTAAAATATATTTGCTTTTCACATGCATCATACAGATTATAGTCTCCTACTACCATGTGAAGATATAGAGGTTTGCTATTCACTGCACAAAGTCTGATCATACACTTGGATTTGGCTCAGCGAGTAATTTTCTTCACCCTAAATAGTTCGATAATAAGATGTTCCAATCACTGGAGTTTCAAGCTCAAGACATTACTATCTTGAAACAGACCTTGAGCTCAATCTATTTATATACGAAGCTCATATAAGTTTTGATATATTTGTCTACATCTTTTTTATTAGATACAATGAGGATGCTCCACGAGAGTACATTTTTGTCCATTATGCATGACAATTTGCCATATGAGAGAAAAAATTACTGAGAAAAGTGCCCAAAGTAACACCACACGTCATGGTGAATACTCTAGGTGGGTGATCAAGCCAATTCGAAACCTTTGTTGGATATTACGTTGGGCAAGTGGAACACCTAGTGTGCAAAATCCACAAGCATGCAAAGGTGCAGGAGCAGGAGGTTAAACAAACCTCTACAATTGTGTGTTGAGCATTTGGAAACAATTGGTAGAGTAAGGTAAACTATATAAATTCAGTTCAATACGGGTAAAAAGAGGAAAACACGAAGTTAATGTTGTACTTTCGGAAAAAGCCTCCTCAAGTAATAGGAGAAAAACACCTCACTGCAGTACTGCTGCTGCACTACTGCACGTAGTAGGAGCGCCTGAAAACCACAACGTAGAAGTTGGACGGACTGTACGTGGTATGCCGCAGGAGAGGAGGAAGGCACGGAAACAGCAGAGACTCTTCTCTGGCTCGTGCATGTGGCGCTCGTCGTTGTGAGCCTACGGTCTGCGGAGCTGCCAAATTCGCGCAACGGGGCCGACAAAGGCGACATGACACCAGCGAGCGAGGGCAGCCCTCTCTGCGCTTCCGCTGCGCCTTCATGTTTGATCCGTCCCTCGTTCTGATCCGTGGAGAATACATGAGTTGACTGGTCTGATCGATCTTCTCTGGAGACGAGGTAAGAATCTTGCTTGAACTTCGCCGGTTTGTGGTGTAGACGGTGCAAGAGAGAAAGAAAGAAAGAACGAGTGAGAGAGAGAGAGAGAGAGACAGAGTAAGAGGTGATGGAAAGTTGTTGGCGTTCTTGAGAAATGAAATTGGGTGGTCAAGGAGGTGGGGATGGAGTGGTGGATATTGTCGTGTTGCAGGAGTGGCCTGAATTTGTTATGGTGATACATCCCAAGCTATGCGTAGGGCTTAAACAAATTTTCTCGTTTCAAAACAATGATGCGCTTAGTGATCCCGTGACACGAAGAAGAGGCTCGTAACTTCGATCTCAGCTAGAGTAGAATCCTGGATGTTGATCTAAATTCAAGTCAATTTTGCAGATAGATGATGTGGTTACGCAGCTGAGAGCGATTCTGAGAATTGCAAATTCATTCTTTGTCTGCTTAGCTGATAGAGACGGTTATTAGCCCGGAATACGATGTGAAGATTACCTGGAGTGAACCTCCGCCTGTCCAGAGGGGAAAGTTCTGAATACATATATATATAACCTGTGCGTGGACGAGTGGCTAGTGAAAGTTTTGGGAATTTGTATCAATGTTTTTAATTTGATCGGAAGCTGATTGAGAACATTACTTTGGTTTGGTACCGTAGACAGGATTGAACGGGCGATCGAGGTCCGGTCTATATTCAGAGGAATGTTCGCAGATCAATATGAGAGCCATAAAGCTGCCAGAACCGCCGGGCAGCGCTGTGAAGATGCCAGAGATATTTGATACAGGCATTTCTAGCGTGGTCAGGCGTGCAATTATTATTGGAAATGGCGGAGCTGGTGCGGAGCATCAATGCATAGGGCTCGTCCGAGCGCTGGGCCTTGGGAACAACTACACACTTCATGTAAGTTAGAAGAGGAGCATGGAAATTATGAGCTTTTGATGCTAGGTTATGAGAGTGATTAGTTGCATTCTTTATCCTGCGCGGTGAACTGAACAAGTAAGCCCGGAGGAGCAGGTCGAGTTAAGATTAGCTCAAGAAAGAGCAGAGTCCAGCGTTGTTGCCCTTTTTTTGGGACAGGAACTCGTTTGTGCATCCCAGGTTTCTAATTTGGATAGATAAGTTCATGTTGTCATTCGGATCAATCCACACATCATTGAGTGGGAAGGATGATATCATTGAATATAACACGAAGGAGACACAAGTAGTCCTTTCCTCCTGGAAGAAGATACGACTCCTCTTTCAACCCTCTCGTTCTTACCTCAGTTTCCGAAGTATTCCAGACCTTTTGGATCGCTGATTCAGGCTTAGAAGGCCTTGATATAGCTTGTGAGAAGAGTCTTACGTTTATATCTAACTGTACCAGCTCTAATAAAATTGGAATCTGACATCTGACAGCGTGTAAATCGCCCGAAAGGTGGATACAACTACTGGCTAAGATGGCTTCCAGTACCTGTTCATCAAAATCTTGACTCCGTTTTGAAACACATATGGTCCGACTGGAGACGAGTTTCACTGTCATACCTTGTTAAAGGACACGAGGGAGAAGTAAATTCTGTTCACGAACACTTCGATAGTCCTGTGTCCTACAATGGCACAACTGCCGTCCGAGCCCTTACTCAAGATGGTAGGACCGTACCTGAGGCTGATGCTGCCAACATTGCTGCAATTGCGATGCAGGACATTGATAGGTAAGAAATGCACTGTCTTTTTCTTTAGTATTTACCAAGTAAATCATGTTAAGTGGAAGAACTGTAATGTCCCCTTGAAGATGTTGATTAATGTTTAGCCTCCAATGTCGGTTAGAGAAACTTTTGTGAAAGAAATTATTGTTTGCTGAAACTAGGTTCTTTATTTCTTACCTGGTTTATCGGTCAATTACGTTTCATTTTGACGCCTTATGTATCTGACCGTGGAATGACTGAAGTGAGGTGGTAGGCTTGACGAGGTTTTATAAAGTGGTCTTGTGCCCGTGCAGAGAGGGACCCTTGCTCGTGGTGGCTTCAGGGCGTGATACAGTTCCTGTAGCAGCCGCAGTGAAGAGATTGGCTCGAGATGCCGTTTTTGTGATACAGGTACATCCATGTACGAGATGATGATCTTCAAAGATTGCACACAATACGTGAAGAGTGTCCCATCTTAGTTGACAACAAACGATGGACCGGTAGTATCAAGAATAATCAGGAAATTTTTGCGATATCTCTGTCACGCAAATCCTGATTGTCAAAGCGTTGAAAGATGTAAATATTTTATACTTATTGAAAATTGATTACAGATTTAGGTCTTGGATGGAGCTTAGACGTTGTGCTTTAGTAGTACAGAGCATTAACATATAGTTCGTGTTAATGGGTATTGTAGATACAGCACCCGAGGTGCAACCTTGACAGATTTGATATGGTGATTACCCCCGTACATGACTATTACCCGCTAAGCCCGGCAGCTCACCAAGAGGTTCCACGAGCTATCATTCCTTGGCTTACGCCACTTCAACCACCTGATAAGCATGTGGTGTGTATGACTGCCAAACTTTTCTTCTGCGTGGCGACTGACAAAGTTTTTAAGTCACAGTGTTGCCCTTGCTTATTCTTATTTTCTGCACCCTTTACGTGTGGGTTTACATTTCTGTTTCGAACTTATAAGTACCATATTGAATGTGGTTGCATCATCAAGATGCTCCAGATGGCGCTAAGATGTAAACTTAGACAATTTCCGGATAGAGTAAGAGCTTTGTGTGCTTATGGAAATTAGGTGCTAACAGTTGGAGCTTTGCACCATGCGGATGCTGCTACTCTACGTGGAGCAGCCAGCACTTGGCACGACGTGCTTGGCCCACTTCCCAAGCCCCTCGTTGTTGTCAATGTGGGTGGCCCTACACGTAAGTTTCTCTCACAAGTTGCCACCAAAGTTGTGTAAATCTGGTGAAGGTCCTGAAGCACGTCCAGACAGATCATTAAATAGACTTTGTGCACATAAGCAAAGCTGTTAAAAAGCCCACTTTTTCATTTCTTATAACTTTGAAATCACTCTGATAGTGAGGAATGTCGCAGGTAACTGTAGGTACGGTGAAGACCTTACTTGCGAGCTTATACGTGCCCTGAGGTGTGTGATTCACACTTGTGGAAGTATGCGTATCACTTTTTCACGGAGAACTCCTCCTCAGGTAGACATTAATTGCATTGTTTTTCACAGTAATTTATTTTCGTTAGGGATCCAATGATGTTTCCTTGAGCTTCTCCTTCGTGCTTTATTTCTGACCATTCTTTGGCGATGCTTTGATCTCAGATTTGTGACCTTATTTGGAAGGAATTAAGCCAAGTACCAAAGGTTTACATATGGGATGGTCGAGGTAAGAACAATTATCTATATTGGATTACCGTCTTCAACTTTTTTTCGAAGATTTTTCACCTGGCTTGACGACTGACAGTTATTTCTCTGATATCCGTCTCCAGGTCCCAATCCACATCTGGGTCATCTTGCCTGGGGTGATTCGTTTATTGTGACAGCTGACTCTATAAGCATGTTGAGTGAAGCTTGCAGCACAGGGTAAGCTACTGCGACTTACAGCCCAAATTCCATCCGATCTGCATATTTTTAATTCATGTTGGGTATGCCGAATTTGGAGATTTGAGCTTTAATGTGGGGTCATTGATCCGAAGCAACACGCGAGCAATGCCTATCAATTGTAATGTATGTAATAAGGAACTTCTTGGGTACAGAAAGCCTGTATATGTGGTAGGAGCGGAGCGATGTAAGTGGAAGTTTGCGGACTTTCAAAAGAGTTTACGGCACAAAGGTGTTATCAGATCATTAACTGGAGCCGAGGATGTAAGTATTTATCTCCTATCTGCATTTTCTTTCTTCTTTCGGGAAACTGTCTACTGTGGATCTCATCGCAGAAGTACCGAGAAGACCTGATCGTCAGGAAAGCAAGTGGGCCTGTTTCTTATCCAACCTAGTAGGAACAATTGACGGAAGCACGCTAGACCCAATCTGCCTGCCGATCTTATTGGTGTATTATCTGAGTGTGCAGATGAGGGAGACCTGGAGTTACCCTCCACTTAATGACGTGTCAGACTCTGCTAAAAGGGTGCGCGAAGCCCTTGCGGAGCGCGGTTGGAGCTTTTAATATAAGTTTCTTCGTAGTGGATTGTTAAGAGTTGAAAAGAGGTACACTTGAAATTTGGTTACATGTAACATTTACATCGATTTTGCCAACAAGTTGTTACTGATTGCAGAAAATTATTGAGGTGAGCTTTTTATAACTAGCAAGAGTACCGCCCACAGCTCATACTGTGTTTGCAATGACAAGTACAAGTATCTGTAGGTGTAGCTGATCGAATCGTGCGACGTGAGAGATATGAAAATAATTGTTTACAGTAAAAATATTGAAGGCGGACCATCACCATTCATACGTTGTTTGTGCGAGCTGAAAAACCAGAGTCTAGTTATGTGCTGCTCTAGCTACAGATGGGGAATAGGGTGTAATGCAGGTCTTAGTTATCAGATCACTGGAGAGTATGGGCGGATGCAAAGGAACCGCAAATTGGTAAGGAACTGGAAAGTGAACTTAAATGCAAGAGCTTATATCAAATGTTGTCTACTATATGCTATAAGTTGGGGATGATATGTACATCATGAAGTGAGCATAGCAATGACACCTGAAATGAAGGACGTTCTGAGAAGTGACGGTTTTAAATTTCCTTGCAGTCGCTGTTCAGCGCTCCTTTGTTTATGTCCAGTTTGAAAGGAGAACTTCAAAGTTGTAAGGTCAGTTCATCTGGCAGAATGTTAGCATCGTTTGTGCATTTTGCATTATACTCAGTAAACACAGAACATTCTGGTAGGGTAGAGGAAGAAAAGTGTGTTGTATTTTTCTTCCCCCACCCTACCATAATATTAACTTCTCTCTACCTCTCACTTCACTTGATAACTTTTGCTTCGCTTTGTACATTTTATGTTTTGAACTATACTGATTTTGCTATGCCCATCCAAGCGAATCCAACCTAGTCTAAGACAGTCAAGGACCAAAGAACACCATTTCCTTCTCTCCTGGGTCTTGGTGTGTTGGAGAGAGTTTGGCTTCTAGCCCATGCAGATGAAGAGTTGTCAGAAATTTAGACTAATCAGCACAGAAACCGGGGGGAAAACTCAAACAACACAATTGTGGAATTCTAATAGAACCTGAATTCGATAAAAATATGTGCATTATTTTGTGATGAAGTGCAATTCATACGAATTAAAGAAAACATTATAGATTTATTTGAAAATGAACTAAAACAACACAGAATCATACCTTGCTATACGATTGCATAATGTCTGGAAAACTTTGGCCTCCTTATGCAACTCGGCAGAAGAAATTTTTGGATGAAAAGAAGTGATTGAAAGCATACCTCAATTTTCAACAAAATGTAAAACAGACCAAATCAACGTTGCAACAACTGAAAAATTTCATGTCTACGAGATCAAATACGCTGTCAACATCAAATACGAATGAGGAGCGTACAATCAAAATGTCCAAATTGTAGCAGTTTCTGGTAGCAGTGGAGTCGTGTGCAAGCGGTTTGAACCATAGCATAGCATCTTAAACTTTGAATTATACTTCATGAAATCTCAACTGATTCGTCTATTTTACTTCATATCTTACATTCATCAAAGTCATTTCATATAATTATATTTCATTCGTTTGATATCTAAAATATAATTCTATTCAACTAATTGAATTCCATGTAGATCAAATTATATGCTGTATATAATTTGATCTAACCATTTATAGAAGAAACAAAAATTGTTCAATGATCTTCTTTCAAGCATTGAACTTTGATTTTAAAAGTTTTGAATTCAACAAACTATAATCTGTTTTTTTATTTTACTTTTTAGAAACCCTTTCTTTAAATTTCATGATTATCAGTTATAGTTTGTAATCTGAAAGTCTTAAATCTTTCAATTGCACACAATCTTCCAATCTTCAATTGGTAAGTTCATTCTTATTTTGTTGAATTTTTAAAATTATCATTAAAAAAAGAATTGATGAAAATTTTCTAAATTCATGGTTTTTCAAAGTTGTGTTCTTGTAGACATAGATTCAAATGGTGAAACATGTGTTTATTTGTTTGTAATATGTTTGAGTAATCTCATAATATTTTTCTAGAAAAACTGATTAATAGCTCAAATGATTGTAGTTTGCATTTGAAAATTAAAATCAGTTTTTTAATTCAATTTTTTGATAACATATGGCCACAAAATTAAAACTTCATCGAGAAATATATATTTTTGAAAAAACCTACAATTATTTAATATCACATTGAATTATCTAATCATTACTCTCTCTTCCATTGTATGAAGATTATTAGAAATATATAACAATAGAAATAAAAGATTTTTATATGTTATATGTTTTGTATTATTTTTTACTATTTATGTAACATAAAGGAATTTTTATGTCCCGTTATCAAGGAATTTATGTAAAAATAATATGTTGTCTAGGGCTTTATCAGATTTAACTAATAAGCACTTTAATCAAAATCTCGTTATATTAATTAATCAACATGTAATAGAAAAGTTCATGAATATACATCTAGAAGAAAAACAAAAGTTGTGTTTTCATTATGGATTAATCTGAAGACAGTTATTGCAATATGTATTATTAGAAAATCCAAAGGTTCAATATGAAAATAATACTATGACATAACATCATGTCTCATCTTCATAAACATGTAGGTTGTGTGTGAAAAGATGATTTAATTTGTCAAGATTGAATATAAATTCAATCTTATTAACGTTTTGATTAAAAAAATGATTAATAATGTTTTTTCAAAACATCATTTATACAATCAGATACACAATCAATTAGGTTAACTCTATTGATCTTAGGTTGTAGCACTTGCTTATACTTCAGCTAATGAACGTAATCCAATAAAATCTCTTTGCTTTTCAAACTTATGGCGCTATAGAATCTTTGTGAGAAGGTACGTCGGATTGTCATATGTATGTATGTAATCAAGTCAAATTTTTCCCCCTAAAACTTTTCTCTCACAAAGTGATGCTTGGCCTCAATTGTTTTGTCTTTGCGTGAAAAATAGTATTGTGAGTGAGTTTTATTGCATCTTGATTGTCACAAGACAAATCTAAATCGGCCAAGGTTGAAGTGTTGGCGTGCTTCAAGTAATCTTGTATTATAAAGTCTTGACATACAATGAGAATACAATGAGTATTGATTTAGAGCCATATCATCAACTGTCGCATGTAATAACATCTTTAGCTGCTTCGAACAAAGCCTTGTACTTAAAGACTGTTGTACTGTTCAAAACGGTAGATTGATGCTTCAAAGACTGATAGATGGAATCATCAGTCAGCTTGAATAAGCAAGAACCAACAAATCGGCGGATGTTGCAGCAACTCAAGTATTCAGCGTCTGAAAATTCGTGAAAATGCGTTGAACTTTGGCGCTTGTAGAACATGTCAAAGTCTTGAGTGAAGTTGATGTACCATAGATCATGATAAACAAAATTTGAGTGACCTATTGAGATGAATGCATGTATGGATTACCACATCAATTGCATATGACAAATCTTAACTAGTATGACATAAGAAGATTAGTTCTACTACAATATGATAGTAAGCCGAGACGTTGATTCACGGTTACTAGTTTGAGCTTCAAGGATGTGAACTACAGGAAGAAGCACAAACTCAGACATAGAAGAATCAAGTTTGCATTTGTTAAGGAGTTGTATATTGTAGTTGATGAAGAAACAGATTAGTTCAATTGTGAGATAGAAATCCACACCAAGATAACCGAAGACGGGTACAATATCTTTCATCTTGTAATTGTAATGAAGTTGAGGCTCAATTTTGACAATTTTGTCAGGACTGCTACAAGTAGTGTAGGAGTAGGAGTAAATTATTGACATACAATAGAAGCATTGTAATAGTGCCGCCTTCACAGAGTAAGTACATGTTGGGATCAAGTTGACTTCGATTTCAACCAATAGACAAGAGATGTTTGAAGATTTTTTCATATCATTAACTCGAAGACTACTTCCGTACATAAATTGATTAAGAATATTTGTTAAGAATATATGTATCCATTGCCTTTGATCTCTAAACCAAGAGCTTGATTCATGTAAATAAGCTCTGCATCTTTCCATTAAAAAACACGATAACTATATCCATATGATATAATTCTCATCCAAGTGCTACTAAGAGTGAAATTAATGCATGCAAGAGACAAGCGTTTTTTTATAATCGATGTCAAAATTTTATTGTAAGCCATGTGCAACCAAGCGAGCTTTCAAGCGCATGGATGTAGGATCTAATTGAGGTTTGACTTTAAAGATCCACTTTGAGGCTAGAGCATGTTTATCTTCTAGGAGTGTCACGATTTTTCAGATGAGGTTGGTTATTAGAGAGTCAAACTTTTCTTGCTTGTGGATTTTGGAGGGTTTGAGCGACAATTATTTGATAGTTCACTGGTCTCGTAGTTTCAATACTATTGATAAAGGTACGTCCTGATATGTGATAATTGTCTCCAAGGAATTGCTGTAGTTCACGACCTACTTGTGTAGAAATTCTCCTGGAATCGTGTGGAGGGTCCCATAGATTAGTATGAAGAAAGCCAAGCAAGGAACTTCCGCTTGTAGAGTCATCAATTTGTGATTCATGTGTGTAATGATACGTTGAGTATTGCAAGATAGTCTAAAATACCAAAATTGCCATCTGAAATAACTACCACCTCTCTAATGATAATCGTGTAGATCCACAAAACTTCCAAATATATGATCAAAGAATATAACATATTTTTGGTAGTAACAATGCAAAGAGCTAATAGGTCTCAACATCTTTATGATTTGGATTCATCATCGTAGCACACATCATTTTGGCTTGGATTGAAGCTTACTCCGCTTATCAGAGGAAATATGAACATATGCAGTGCATCCGATTACTTTGAATTCTGTAATGATGTAGATGAAGGATCATATAATTTTTCATATGACGTAGTGAAAATGAATGCACGGTTTGCAAAACAATTTAGCAAAGAATTAACTACTCACACATACTTCATTTAGACATCAGCAGGAAATTTATAAATATTGAAAATACAACAATTTGCTTCAAATAGACTCAGATTCTTAATGTCGTTTTTGTGGTTGCTCGCTGCTGTATTTAGTTGCCGAACAATTTCATTTTGTCAACTTTTAGCTTCCTAGCTTTTAAAATCCTCATGGTGTTATTCAATCCTCAGGATGAATTAGAAGAGACGAAATTAATGATGACCAATTGTACTTGGTTTGCCACACTACATCAACTTTATACAAATAAAAATTTTCCACAAGTAAGACAGATTGCTTACAATGATGGAAGAAATCATTTTTTAGGCAAAGAAACCTAACCCTTTTGTTGGCAATAGTTTTTTGAAATCCTCAAAGAGTTATTCATCCATTCGGTGAATCCGAAGAAACGAGACTAGTGATGACCAATCAACTTTATAGAGATAAAAATTTTCGCAAGAAAGATAGATAGCTTAAAGTGATGAAAGATTTCACTTTTTAGGCAAAGAATTCGAACCCAAGTAAATCAGTTATAGTCTTTAATGAAGGGCAAAAGGTACTTGAAGTCAATACTTGCTTTGACGTGACCACACAAATCGATGTGGAAAAGTACCAAAGGTCATGTAGTTTTCTTCTAGCTTCCTTTATGTTTTCTAGCCTTGTGCTCCTTCGCAAGCACACATGCGATCTTTATCGGCAAGGAAAGGGAAATGGTGAACAAAACACTTAGAGTGCATGTGGTAGGTTATCTA